CCAGTTCTGACTTACATACAGATTCAACTTAAGAACCCTAAGCGTCCCCAAGTCAGCTGCTGCTGAAACTGATCAGCAGCTGATTCCAGGAAGCCCAGGGTAGAGCAACTCTGCCTCAGGCTTCCTGTAGTCAGCCATTGGTCAGTTTCAGCAGCGGCTGAATCTGGACGCCAGTTCCGACTTACATACAGATTCAACTTAAGAACAAACCTACAGTCCCTATCTTGTACGTAACCCGGGGATTGCCTGTACATCTAGATTGGTTGAAGCATTTAAACATGTGGATTATTATAGTTAAGACTGATACTTGGATTAAGGATTGAGTTGTCAACTGCACTGAAGTGTCATGCAGCTGTGGGGATGAGAGGTAAAGAAGACACCAAGCTACTTCTCCCCATTCCCCAACCTTTGGGCTAAATTGGCTCAGAGGACCCTAGGAACAGGTTTTCACCTTTTACTAAAACTTCCCCAATCACATGTCCTTGAAATAAGAAATATTATGCAGCTATGGAACACAAAATGGATAATACAAGCCTGTGTAGTACTGCTAGATGTATTATGAAACTTATACTAGTATCATTCACCATACAGAATCAGGACTTACTGGAGAAATGCTGTTCTGGTTTTTTTGTTTGTTTGTTTGTTTTGGTTTTTTGTTTTTGTTTTTTAAGGTAGAATCTGTGAGTAAGAAGGAGAAAGCCAAACAGAGACCTCTGGCACTGAACACGGTGGAAATGTTAAAAGTTGCCAGTTCTGCTTTGGGTATGTAAATAATGTGGAGATATAAACATTTCAGTTTTCAAACTGTTCTCAACAGAAAATGTGTTGCATTCTGACGCATCTCATGAAACAAATGAAGGCTGTTTATCATTGCAGGCAAGTTATTACTGGCTACACTGTAAAATATAATTGTGCTAGCAAAGCAGAGAATTTGTCAGAAGTGAAGTGTCCAGTATAGTAATAGATTCTGATCATGAAATACTTTTGTAGAAAATACACACGCCTTAAGACTGCATTTAAGACCTGTCAGTGGGAAACCTTTGTGGCGACAGAGATTAAATCTTCTACATAGCTCCATGACTTTTTTTTTCCCCCAGGAATGGGTCCACAACATGCTATGCAAATAGCAGAACGACTTTATACTCAGGGTTATATTAGCTACCCTCGAACAGAAACAACCCACTATCCAGAAAACTTTGACTTGAAAGCATCTTTGAGACAACAGACTAATAATCCTTACTGGGCAGAAACAGTAAGTATATGAAGCAAAATTTAAAATGCTTTATAAGTTCTTTCTTGGCCGGTGTTCTAGAAAAAACAGTATCAAGAAATCCATGCTCTCAAATACCAGAAACATCTCTTAAGATCTGTTTGTATATTGATCTCCATAGTCAATATACAATTTTCTAACTATTCATTTTCTGTGGTTTGTGTTATGGATTTGATCTGAAAAGAAAAGCATATTAATCTGTAGAGAGATTTGATGTGGTGTTAATTTTTTTTGCTTTCTCTTTTTGGTTTTGTGTAGGTAAAGGCATTGCTGTCAGAAGGAATTAATCGTCCAAGGAAAGGCCATGATGCAGGGGACCATCCTCCAATTACTCCAATGAGAGCTGCAACAGAAGCAGAACTAGGTATACCCAACTCTCGTCTTAAAAAATCTGCTGTATGCAAGAGGATTGGGTACCTGAGGGGTGTGTTAGAGCCCGTTTGGAAACCCCAACTGGTATTTTCATAAAAAACTGAGTTACTAACTGTTACTGGTGTAACCAATAAAATAAGCAAAAGCACCAGAACTCCTGAAAAGTTGAAGTAGAAGTATAAGGAACACTAGATTAATGTACAGAAAACTACATTACATTAATGTTGAAAATTGACTTAACCTTCTTGGCATTATGAGTTTCAGAGATAAAGATGAAATACAATTCTTGTGCCTGTGTATTATAATACATTGATTGCCCACTGATCTTAAAGGTATGCTGTAGAACCAAAGCTCAACAAAAGGAGTTTAGAATAGAATGTGGTGTTGAAGTTTGAATTTATTTTCTTTGGGACTGTAAGTGAATTATTTAGTAAAGTAACTGACATTTTTGCATTTTCTATCATTTGTCTTTTTTATTTAAATTAATATTTGCCTTCCTGTACACTCTGATCTCTCAGTTGTACTCATAACAAAATTAGCCCACAAGATAGCACAACTAACATTCTTTACTCGAGAGTTTTGACAACAGTTTTGCACAAGTTTCCCTTTGCTTGACCTATGCTTAATTTATTCCAGTGCTACTAATCTTTCTCTGTCATGAGAACAAAAGTTACTTATAATTTAAATAAATGAATGGTACTATTGTGCAGAATTAGGGACTTCAAGAAAGACATTAAAGGGAAATAAGTTAATTTTTTAGATTAGTTTTCTATAACTCTGCAAGAAAAACTGTTTTTAACAAGTATTCTGTTGGGCAACCTGTGCTGATTTTATATGGGTAACAAGGTGTTGTGTATCTTCAGGTGGCGATGGATGGCGTTTATATGAATATATCACTAGACATTTCATTGCCACTGTTTGTGCTGATTGCAAATATCTCCAAACCACCATTTCTTTTATTATTGGTCCTGAACATTTTACCTGTGTAGGAAAGATGATTATTTCACCAGGTAAGGAAAACATGGGAACAGCTGTTCGGCTAATTATGACCTTTTCCCTCCGCCTTCAAATAAAAAGTTGAGGAATTGAATTAGAAGCCAGAGTTGTGATGAGGAGGAGGAGGAGGAACTTATGCCTTTGGAGCCATAGTAAAATTTCAGAATTCCTCCAGGACTGATAGTTTAAAAAAAAACAACCAACTTTTGCTTTCATCCCCACACTTGGATTTCTCAGTATGACCCATTTTAAAATTTCTGTCCTTGTGCTCACAATATGCTAAGAAGCATTGCCCCTGCATGCAGGAGGATACACAATCTGTTTTAGATTGCTTGCTTCTTAGTCTGTTTTTATTTGCTAGGCATTAGCATTCCAGAATCAGCCCACAGTGATTGGTGTTGGGTTGTTGGGGAACTCCTTTGAGGTTCAATGTATTATAGCTTTAATGCTCCCAGCTTCGTTTTAAGGAATAAGAGTCTGGCATCCATGATTTTTGTGGCAGTGCAAACTGTCATTGGCAGCCTCTCAGCTTTGACTTTGTGATAAAACTCCAGTTAGAATTAGGAAGTATCTTGCCTAATGAAAGTTGTTGAACTGTTTAGTTTCCATTTGTTTTTATTTACAGGATTCACCGAAATTATGCCCTGGCAAAGCATCCCATTAGAAGAAAACCTCCCCAAATGTGAGAAGGGAGATGTTTTCCCACTCAGTGAAGTAAAACTGCTAGAGAAACAAACCAATCCTCCTGATTACCTGACTGAAGCAGAACTCATCACTTTGATGGAAAAACATGGCATTGGTAGGAACTAGTCTCCCTTACATGATGATGTAGTACTCCTTTCAGAGGGCAAGGTGTTGCTCTAGTTCAGGAATGGGCTTTTAGTATCTGTGTTTGATGGCTTATGCTTCCTCTCAAATCACGCAGCCTTTGGCATCTTTTAGGTAGCCTTCAAGAATCTGACCATACATTTTTCCCTCCTTTTCTCCCATTCTTCTCATTTTCTATTCACTATTGTGACCAAGCAGCACCAAAGAGTATTCTTTGCATAACCTGTTTGTGTTACTCCTCAGTCAGCAAGAGATTCTATTTGCTCTCTCCCTCCAGGGATTAACTTCTTACCTTTCTGTAGCATGCTTTGTTCATGTGGGATCTGGTATCTTAATATAGCTTATACATTTCAGCATTATATTTATTTAACTTAATTTGTTTCCTAAGTACAGTGACCTGCATAACTCCAGTCCTGCTGCATACCTCCCCTTATTCTAGTGGAGTTTGTCATATATATATTGGCCGACAACATCTGATATGAGGAAGCTGCTGCCATAGTAGTGGTCTCCCTGGAAGCAGTAAAACAGTTAATATGTATTGTGGAATTCTTGTAACTAAAAAGCCATTCCTGCACATTTGAAAAGAATATGACTTGTTGAGCAAGGAGAGAAGTAGCTGAGAAATGGAGAATGATGTAGAAAAATGGGGAGAACTGGATGTTAGCCTATACCATGTGAAAGAGCTAATGTCTGACTTATAAACCAAGGAAGGGGAAGAAAGACAATTATAAAGTTATAATTTAGAATTAATTAATTGTGTGACAGGAACTGATGCAAGTATCCCAGTACACATTAACAACATCTGCCAGCGGAACTACGTCACAGTGGAAAATGGTCGCAGATTAAAACCTACAAACCTTGGCATTGTTCTGGTTCATGGTTACTACAAAATAGGTCAGTTACTGATACTTTATCTTCTGTTATTGTCTTTTCAATTAACTATGTTCCTGGACAGTTCTGGACACCAAGGTATTTTAATTATCATTCACTACCTCAAACTGCAGAACTCATTCTTGTTGTGGAAGTATAGGATTTAGGCTGTGCACAGTTTGTACACCACCACATGTTCACCTCAGTGATATCTGGAGAAAGTCACTTTTCCACTTGGGAGAGAGGAAAAGCATGTCTGAATCTCTAAAGATAGGAGTGTTCATAGAGAAGAAACCAGATAGTGGACCTTGAAAGGCTATTGCCAACTTACATATCACATTTGTCTGAAAATAATGTACTTGTAACATTATTTAAAACTAAAAAATACTTTTTTCAATTGCTTTTTTGTTCATTTGATAGTTTCACTGTCCCTGCTCCATCTTCCCTGCTTGTATTCTTGGTCAATCTCCTTGTTTAATTGCTGCTCTCCGTTCTCTCTCTGGTTTTCTATTAGATGCAGAGCTGGTGCTTCCTACAATCCGCAGTGCAGTAGAGAAGCAACTCAACTTGATAGCTCAAGGCAAAGCCAATTATCATCAGGTTCTGGAGCACACCCTTGATATCTTCAAAAGGAAGTTTCATTATTTTGTTGATTCTATTGCAGGTAAGGCTCCTTTACACCTGAAGTTCTTCAACTCTGGCTACTTGTTGGTTAGGAGTTGAGAAAATCCATTATTCTTTAGGAGACTTTCTAGGGACTAGGCCTGTCTTTGGTACACAATGACCTTGAATGAGTAGCTGTAACAGGAGGCTCACCTAGGTGAGTGGCTTTGAGTGTCAGGATGCAGTATCACAATCTTTTTCCTTCCCTCATGCCCTGCAAGCCAACATGGTATGGCCCTTCCGTGGTTTGGACAGTCTCTGTCCTTGCCTAGGTCTTAAGCCCCAGAACTGGGCTCTTCAGATTCATCCCTTTATCAGGTTCTCTGAAGTATATGCTGTACCCTTCTTGGGATTTATGCCATGTTACCCGTGGCCATTTAGGAACCCAGAGCCACCCACTACCTTGGGTTCCAATGCAGGGACCCTATAAACAGTAACCCAGTACTTCTCAGTTCTATTAGTTGTTCTCTCCTAGACTCGGTACCTTCACCTTTCTCTCAGATTAAGGTTCTTACATCCTCTTTCTCCCTGCAAAACCAGCTATTCAGAAGGCAGCCAGAAATGAACTGTAGCCATTTCTCACATTCAGAGAGAGGCAACTTGCATTGTCCCTCTGGTCCTACTTCTAGTAGGAACTGAACAGCTGATGCCAAATATCTCCTTTTATCTGGGCCAGCACAGTCCTGATTGGCTGTTATTAGCCCATCAGGCCCTTTAAAAGCCAGGTATGTGGTTTTCAAAATGGCCATTTTGGAGAAGCCTCTATTGGCAAAATTGAAGGATACTCTTCACTGCTCTTTTCCTCTTAGTAAACTTGCTTCTTAGGTCAAGGTGTAGTAGGACTATGGGGACCCCTGCTGGCAGCTGCTAAGGCTGAATACATCGCATCACAGCAGCACACATGCAGTCAAACTTGAAATCTGTCAAGCAAAACACTATAACTGTCTAAAATACGTAGGTACAGTGTCTTTTGCGTTCTCATTATAGCTCTTTTAGTATACTTTTTAGTACATAAACTTGTGCAGAGTGTACAAATAAATAAGTTCTCTTCTGGGACAACAGAGTGCTTTCTCAGACTTTGTGCAGAGAGACAGGCAACTTACACTATGAAAAAAGTCACAGTAGGATTCAAAACCCGTGCAATTTCTTTTCTGCAGGTATGGATGAATTGATGGAAGTGTCTTTTTCACCATTAGCTGCCACAGGCAAACCTCTTTCTCGCTGTGGCAAATGCCATCGTTTTATGAAATACATCCAGGTAAAGTAATCTAGAGTTTGTTTGTACTTCAAAAGTTATTTGCAACAATCAGTGGTTAAAAATATCTTTTGCCTTAATACTTCGGATTTATCTGTATCATGTCTCAAATGCATCTCTGTAAAATATATTTAAGCTTATCAGAAGGCCCAAAGAGATTCTCTCATGGAGTAGCCTAGGTGGTAATACTAGAGATTTGAACCTTATAAGCTACAGCTCTGATTCACTGTATATTTGAAAATTCGTATTCTGTTTCCAGGCCAAGCCAAGCCGTCTGCACTGTTCTCACTGTGATGAAACATACAGCCTTCCCCAGAATGGTACCATCAAACTTTACAAAGAGCTGCGTTGCCCCTTGGATGATTTTGAACTGGTACTGTGGTCTTCTGGATCAAGAGGAAAGAGTTATCCTCTGTGTCCATACTGTTATAACCATCCACCATTCAGGGATATGAAAAAAGGTAGAAATTTCATTGGCATCTAAAATAATCAGCCACACTGCAACACTTTTAAAATCAGTTATTTATTTGGTGTTTTATGGTGTACTTTTAATAGATTCCCAGTCAATGCAAAAGTTGATATGCTGCTCTGTTCAATGAAATAATTTCAAAACCAAATCTTAAGTGTCTATAACTGTTGCCCCCTGGATGCTCCATATCTAATATACAGAATTCAGAACTGAAAAAGTGCTTTTTTCCAACCAAGTTTCTAAAAGTCTGTAACTTTTTAAAAACAGCAAGTAGTCAAGGACATCTTAAGAAGTTGGGTTTTGCCCACAAAAGATTGTGATACGAGTTTCTAAAAACAAGTTGTGATTCTCTCTGCCCCATAGTCAACACTCACAAAGTTTCTGCATTTAGATCTTAATTTGGTTAAAATAATGCATGAAGAATAGTAGGAAACTAATTTGTTCTTCTACAGCTTTATTGGCTCTTCTGTACTAAAAGTTTTTAAAAATTCTGTTTTTAAAAATTGTTCATCGGCAAAATAATTGTTTATGACTTACAGTTACACGGGAACTGAGTAAAAGGGTGCTTTTAATTACCGTAGTCATATTTCTGGCTGTTCCTACACTTAAGAATCTAACAGGATTTCCTTGATAAATCCCTGACTATAGGAATTTAGTCTTGATATTAAAATTATTTTTTTGAAATTTGCTGTGAATTTCTTTTAGTCTGAGAGAAGATAGTTGCTAGAGCTGGTGAGCAATAAGTTTAAAGCAAGGGGAAATGGGCAACTAACTAATTTTAAAATTATATTTATTCACTAACTTTTAAATTTTGGTCATTATTAACTTAACTCTAATTTTTAAATGTTATTTTTGCCCAATTTACTTAGAAAAAATTCACCAAGTTTGTCAGCAAAATATTTGCCAAAACACCACAACATGAACAATTTATTTGAAAACCATTGTGATATTATTTCAGTCAAGTTATCTGACCATTTTTATTAAACATAGAGCCTTTTCCTAAATTCCCATAATGTGGAGTGGATGTTTGTTAATATGAAAACCCTTGTACTGTCATTTGCAGTAATATATGTTAGGGATGTTGGATACTGATTCATTTAATAATCATGTAACCGCATCAAATCTTAGCAATTACACGATTATTCAGTAGTCCCTAGGGTGGGGGAGGGACTAGCAGAGCCTGTGTCTCCTGGCCTCATTCTTGGGGAGCCCCCTGCCATTCCACACTGCTACCTCTGCATCAGCGGCAGCAGTGATACAGGAATAGTAGGAAATAGTAGCCCATGGACAGAGGCTGCTCCAGCAACCCATGGAGCAGCCTCTATCCACAGCAAACTGAGGCCTAGGCTTATCGGGTAATTGTGTAGTTGACTACCCATTGACATCCCTAATGCATGTATTATTTTTCAGTTTATAAAATGGGCACCATGAACGTTCAATGGACAATTATAGCTGCTTTTATAAATAAAAATAAATTAGCTGCCCCCTGAACAAGCAGGATATCTTCAGAGTGCACCATGTGTGCAGTGTATCTTATTGAGCGATCTGGTGAGGATAACTTTGAAACTGATATATGAAGTTTCATTGATCTGATTGTGGCAAATGAGCTGCTGTGTAATAATTTTATTATTTTTGTGTGTGACATGATCAGTGAGATTAAACCCAATACAGCTTTGCAGTGATATCAGGCCATCCTGTAGGAATGTTTTGGCCTAGCTTAATATGAGGCTATTGTGAAAGCAGGCAAAAAGGAAACAGAATGGCTCTAGCTAAAAAGATCCTCTAGGAAGGGCGGGAGGAGTTGTCGATGTCCCTGGAGAACGCAGACTGACACAGACAAGTCTTGCTGGATTGTTTGAAATGACTTGGGCCTTCCCTGGCTTCAAAGAAATGGTAAATTTAAGGGAAAGACAGGTATGTGTATAGATTTGGTCAGTATCTTAAGATCTTTTTCTCTAAAATATTTTGGTTCTAAATAAACAATACTTTACTTTTAAGAAGGCTTTCTGGGCATGAGCTAGGTGTAGCTCCTGGAGGGAAGGGGACTGTAGGCACTGAACCTAAGTCAGTCTTGCAGAGGTATTCATGACTGGTACTGAAGGGACTGCAACCCACGGATTGGTCTGAGTGCGGGAATCGTGTAATTTAACATGGGCAAAGTGGCATCTTTAAAGCCTGATGATCGGAAAGAGGAATGAATTTGATGAGAGACAGGAAGGAGTCAGATGTGCATTTATCCTGGGAACTCAAGAGACTGACTTGCAGCTAAAACACTATTTTTTCATTATCCTGAATCTTGTTCATGATGATAAAGAGCTTAGAGGCCTTGATTGTGGACAGGAGCTCCATGTTATGAAACTCCCTCTTCCCCCCAAAAAAGATGGTTCTCTGCTCCAAAGAGCTTACAATCCCTGTATGAGACAACAGGTGGAAATAATAAATCTGTTTTCAGTGAGGCATAGTGTATTTTCAATATAAGCTTTTCCATTATACAGTGACAATGAGAACTCTGTCAGTGCAGAGCAAAAGTTTTCTGTGTCCCACTTCACTTCTGCCTTAGCTATGACAACTATAAGTTCCACTATTCACTTTCTTGGAGCAGATCCCCAGCAAACACCCCAATAGTAATGGATTGATTGGAAAAGGGTCTCACCTCCATAAGTCTTGGACCCAGTTTATATCATTGGATTTTTTTTTTTAAGATGGGGGTGGATCTGTTACTCTAGAACCACTAAATTTTCCTTCTTTCCACATGCAATCTTCTGAGCCAAGAGGATTGAATTTAGCCTGAAATTCCATCTTTAATCTTAGGTATTGTGCTTAGAATTGTTTGTGTAAATAGAAACAATGAAGGAATCCTGTGGCACCTAAAAGACTAACAGATTTCTTTTGGCATAAGCTTTTGTGGGCAACGACCTACTTTTGGGTTTAAGTCTGGATAGTATTTTCTGCAAAATGTAAAAATAGAATTCCCTAGGAATGGGCTGTAATGAGTGCACCCACCCAACGTGCCAGCACTCACTTAGCATGCTTGGAATCGGGCAGTGTGTCGAATGTGAGAACGGGGTTCTGGTGCTAGACCCAACATCAGGTCCTAAGTGGAAGATGGCCTGCAACAAATGCAATGTGATTGTGCACTTCTTTGAGAATGCTCACAAAGTGCGAGTGTCGCCAGAGACCTGCGAGTCATGTGATGCAGCCCTTGTGGATGTGGATTTTAATAAAGCTAAGTCTCCCCTCCCTGGTGACGAGACACAGCACTCAGGCTGTGTGTTCTGTGACCCTGTGTTCCAGGACCTGGTGGAGCTTAAGCATGCAGCCATGAGGCACCCTATGCACCGTGGAGGACAGGGAAAAAGGCAGGGTCGAGGAAGAGGAAAGGGCAGAAGACCTGGAGGGAGACCCAACCCCAAAAAACCCAAGGACAAAATGGCAGCGCTAGCTGCATACTTTGTATAATGCTCACATAACACCAATTACAAGATTTAATTTGTATAAAATTTGTTTTCTTCTCAGTACATTTTTAAAATACCACTCATCATTAAAACTTTTCCTTAAAGTAAAAACGCTTGGATCGTGTACAAAATTGTTATTTGCATAAATGCAAATACTAAAAAATCCCCCTGGGACCTTGACCAACTACATGTTTATAACTCCTTTAAGATTTTAACTGAAGTTAATTTATTTGGGCACAGAACATGGAGGGGAAGAAGGACATTTCAGGAAATTTACCTACAAGAATTATCTGTACATGGCAGACATAGAGACTTAACTCTCCCTATGTATCATTCTTGAGTAGCTTTTGTCAGAGGTGCAAGAATGGATTAACATCAGTGTCCCATTATTTTAACCTTAAGGTGAGTCTTTGAAAATGAGCTTCATTTGTATCTTTTAATGATGAGCCCTCAAAAATGGGGAATAATGGTGGTCTGTTAAATTGCCAAATCAGAACCTGCAATAGGAAAGGAGCAGCACTGATCACTTCAAATCTATAATTACATACTGTATGAGGAAGAAGTTGCCCACAGATTTATAAGAAGGTATGAAAATGAGGGTATGGCAGAGAGCATTATCAAATCATAGAAATAGAGCTAGGAGGGACCCTGAGTCATTTCATCCATCTCCTCCTATACTGGGGTAGGTTTAAATATACCTTAACCATCCCTGAGTGGTGTTTATCTAACATTCTTAAAAGTCCTTAATGGGGATTCCACTAGGGATGTTAAATATCAGTTAATTGAATAGTCAGTTAACCCAATTAATGTATTGTTTAGTTGACTATTCTATAGTCCCCAGGGATGAGGCTGGCAGCCAGTGCACTCCACCTCCACCCCCGAGGAAACCCTTGTCACTCCGTGCTGCTGCCTTTGTATCAAGAGGCAGCAGCATATGGGGTGCCAGGCGGAGCTGGTCCATGCAGGGAGCCAATTTAAAAATCAGTTCCACTTGTACTGCTCTACTGCATGGGGTGGTAGCAGCTGCCTCCTAATATGTTTTAAATGCAAACTCGAAGCAGGAATAGGTCCTGGACCTGGTGCAAGCCAGGACTGAGTCAGGTTGCTGGCTACGCTGCTAAAAAATTTACTGGCAAAGAGCAAGGGAGAATATCTGTGTAGTCTATAGCATTAACCTATAAGCTTTTCCTTATCAGTTAATTGATTACACTATTACATCCCTAAATTCCACTACCTCCCAAGTAACCTGTTCCAATGCATAAAATGTAGTGCCCAAAACTGGACACAGTATTCCAGCTGAGCCCTCACCAGTGCTGAGTAAAGTGAAACAATTACCTCTGTTTCTTACAAATGACAGTCCTGTTAATATTCTGAGCCCCTGTTCTTGCCTCTTTTACGTTGGTCTTGTAGCATGAAAGGGAGGAGCAAATACAAAGGAGCGTTCCCAAAGGGGAAAGAAATGTAATGGGCATATGAATCCCCCAGTTTATGGCAGGCCTAGATGCATCACAGGCGGAGGCTGTTCTGGCCCTTCTGTGGTTTGCGGTGGGTGGGGGGCACTTCAGTTTAGCCCACTGTTATTTTTAGCCAGTTAATCAATTAACTGGGATTTTACATCCCTATTGTGCACGTGGGAAGGAATGGTAAGAGTATTCTGGGCTCTACATTCTGGATTGCAGACCGGCTCATACCTAGCCAAGTAAAGCTGCTGTAAATTAGAGCAGGCCATAGGAGCTGAACTTACCTTCTGAAAGGCATACCATACAACCTGACACTCATCATACATCAAGTGCCATCACTGGTTTCTCAGATTTTTTTTTTTTAACTGTTGATCTGATGAACACTAAAGTCTTGTTTTATCACTAGTTAACTGAGTTCAAAACAGGATGCTATCATACTTTTATATGTAACAGATGCAGAAGTGACAGGTGTCAGATAAATCTCTATAAACATTTATTCATAAATATATTGGTGAGGTTTATACCACAGCTCAGAAATGAAGGTGTTTTCTCTTGTATCCTTTAAAGCAGAATTGTCACATTATTTGCTGTCAATAAAAATATGGTAAACCACTGCCAATACCACTGGAGTACCATGTTGTGTATATGCATTTTCTGAACCACTAAATTCAAAGAGACATGAGGTTATGTTCTTGAAACCTGCCTCTGGCATAAAGTATTTTGTTGTTCTATAAATACTGAATCTTTACTGAATAAGAATTTTAGAGCATTCACATGGGATAGCTTCTTTTCAGGTCTTAAAGTTCAGTTTGCAAGAGTTTTTTCTCAGGCCCATAAAAATTAAACATTTGTTGCTAGCCCTTGAGGGATCTTTCATTGACTCCATTCTATTTTAATCTTTTCTGCTTTTCTAAGCTTCTTCCTTGAGTGGCATTGTAGTTGGGCCAGAGTGAAAATATCTATCTGCTTTAATGGATTACACTGCAGTGTGCTAGTCTGGCAATTGGTGGTGACTTTGCTGTGAGATATATGTACAGTAAAACTCCATTAGTCCGGCATCTAATGCTCCGGGACTCCTGATGGTCCAGCACCATCAGGAACCCGGAAGTGCTGGGGCAGCCAAACAGGCTTCCCCGATTCAGCTGCTGCTGAAACTGACCAGCAGCGGCTGAATCAGGGACGCCTGGGGCAGAGCCGGACTATCGTAAGGGGGGGGCTATGAGGGGTCTGGGGTGGCATCCCCTCCCACCCTACTCCAGACCCCTCATAGCCCCCCCTTCTGATAGTCCGGCATATCTGATAATCCGGCCCCACCTGGATCCTAAAGGTGCTGGATTATCGGAAGTTTACTGTACTATGAAGACACCCAAAGTGTGGGATTCATAAACCCTTGGCAATAAAACACTCATTGCTTTTGAACAATGCCTGAGAAAATTTTCCTTTCAAATTTCTGTCCAAATTGTTGAGGTAAAATGGAAGGTTCGAGAATGTGGCCAGCCCCAGAGAGGTGCAGAAACAGGCAGCCTTGTGTTGAATATCTTTTAACTTTTATTAAAATGCTTTTAACTATAACTTTTTATTTATCAGCTTTTTACATGCGTGGGCGCCAGATAATTATTAACAGTAACAATAAACAAACTGCAATACCATAGAGGAAAATGCCCTGGGGTTTCTCTAAGTCTAAGTAATTATCAATAATACCCCAGAGATTTTTATCAGTTATATTTACATTAATTTCACTCATGAGGTTTAACATCTATTTAAACTCCTAACTGTACTATTTAACAATTTCTAACTAACTTACTCTTAACACTATTATTTATCAAACCTTTAACTAACTTTACACAGCAATACTCACAATTATCAGACATACAAGAGACAACAGAGACAACAGCATATTCGTTATTCGTTACGCTCTGCAAAAGATTCGGTAGATTCAGTGAGCGGGAGGGGGTCCTCGGGTGATCAGCCCTCAGAACCTGGCTCGTGTTCTGCCTTCCAA